AGTGTAGGAGTATATCATTTTTTTAATTCTTTAGCATTCTAATAGCTATGGATGTTTGTCCTTGCAGAGTATATGATGCAATCACTCCAACAATAAGTTTAAGTGGTCCGACAAATTTCGCTCCATTGATTTACGAAGCCATTGAAATTTGCGAGAAAGTCCAAAATGTTTGTCTTCTTGATTGTTGTTTATTAAATTAGAAGAGGGAAATCATTCTTGTGAGGAGGCTTCCCAGGAATTCCAAAATCACTTTATATCAAACGAAAAATTGAGCTTTGATTAAAACACGCTTGCACTAACTGTTACTATAATCTTAGCGATTCTAATGATTGGGAAGAAATAAGCTTTAATCACTTAATCGAAATAGTCTTTAATCACTTAAATGAAATAATCTTTAGCCGTTATTTGTGGTCAGATATTGAAATAGGAAGGGATTCTTATTGAAAAGTTTGTTTGCAGTATCATATACTAGTGATAGTAGCAGATGGACAAGTAACGAACGAAAAGGCAACTCGGAAGGCAATTGTACGAGCATGCCAGCACCCATTGTCAATTATTGTTGTCGGTGTTGGTGATGGACCATGGGACATGATGAAGGTTGCTTATCCAGTACCCTAAAAACTTACTTAGTTTTTACTTAATTATCCAAATTTTATTCAACCTTCCAAAACTTTTCTTCCGGTACTTTGCACAAACTCAATAAATTAGCAAATCGCATTTGCTAATTTCAGGTATTTGACGAATCTTTACCGAGAAGACCCTGGGATAACTTTCATTTTGTTGAATTTCATGAAGTAATGCAGAAAGCGGGCAGTATCAATTCGGGCGAATTGTCATTCGCAGTACATTCACTGTTAGAAATACCGGACCAGTACAATACAGTCCGTCAGTTGGGATTATTACGATCAGTGTCACCAATACCTGAACACGGCCCTTAACCGACCTATTAAAAACTTTTGATCTAAGTTATCATCATATGATTTCCTTCTGCGTTAGACTTACAAATACTTCATAACTTTATTTTGTTCATTTTAAATACTTTTACTATGTACAGTTGGATGACTTATGATGTCCAGTTTTCTGTGACCCATATAAAATGCTAGTAGAGCATGTGTATAAAACCACCATAAAAATATTCTGATATTTGACGTGAAGGAATATGGCATATTCCTTCACCCTTCTTCACGGCCAACTTTTTCTAATGATCATATTTCACATTTGTACTTTATCGCAGTGAAGTGAAAGACTGTACGCTTATTATTGTCAGTAATGAACAGTTTACGCTTATCTAAACAATTCCAAATAATTTCAATTATTTTATGTAAAGCAGGTAATAACGTTTGGCTCATTGCGATGTGTGACATAAAACTCTGAAAGCTTCCGGTGATACGTTGTACATTTTTGGATTGATCATTTTATAGTTAAAAAAATGACATTAAAAGCAACTTTACAATAACAGTACACAATAAAGCAAAGTTCATTTAATTGAACAGCTAATAAAATAAAAGTGACAATATCGAAAAATGACAAGAAATGTATAGAATGCAAATATCTCATCGGTTAGTCCTATAAAAAATTCTCATACTTTGGCATTAGGAGCAAAAAAGTAATTAAAACAAATAGATAAAAGGAAACAAAGAACGGAATGAAACGTATTGCAATTATTAATGTCACACAATGTGTAGACGGTATACCAATTTTATGCAATTGAGTGCTGGGAAACCTTATTTTCATTTCCCAAAGACGGTGACCATCCATTTTTATAGCAACATAGGTGAAAAAAGTAAGGACCACCAAATAAAAGGTCTGAATTAAAGCTTGAAAACTGCTCTCTAAACTATCAGTATAGACTGTTGTATAATGTAGGTTATTTTAAAAAACGTCGAATAGTTATCTAATATTTCATTATGTTGTTGCATTCTAAAGAACAAGCAAGATTCTTTTGTGCCCAGACAAAAGTAGAACATTCAGATGAAGCGCCTTTGCAAAATAATATGACCTAAAAAGTTAAAATGATTTTCACACCAGTACACTTTACTAAACAAATTAAGTTACATTTGAAAGCAGCTTCAAAATAGGAAAGCACCAGAAAGGTTTATGGTACTTCAGCACAAATAATCTCATGGAATTATTCCTGTACAGTGAGATGCATAATAATATTATATATTTGTCCTTGTTAAGATTGCTGTTTCTTTGTTATAAGTGTTGCTTTAAATTACCCTAACATATATCAATCTCTTATTAACAAAGAATTCTTGATAACTGGGTAAAATACACTGAAATTTTTTTTAAATTTCGAGAAATAGAAGACAAAATAGGTAACTTCTCGCTCAGCTGTGTCATACCATTCTCAAATCTTGCGAAACGGATAAAATGACTGCAGAAGTGATGTAAAATATAGTAAAGTCTATCGAAGCGAAGGGTCGACTTTTCGGCTGATATCCTGCATCACATCATCTACAGTTTCGTCCATTGGATTATTGAATTCATCGCAAAATTCGTCGCGCATTTCTTGCACTCGCAGCCTATTGCAATAATAAAGCAACACAGTGACTATTACATAACTGCCAAAATTAAGACAAATCGAGAGAATGAATAAATGAGCGAATTCATGTTCTTAACATGTCGCAATGCTTCGAGGATTTCGAATCTAATAAATGATAGTTAATGCCATGCTAGTAGTTTGATTAACAGCAGTTTCAAAGTTAATGAATGAACAAATTCACTTGTATCACTGGAACGCTGAGCAGTAATGTTGAGTATCGATAAGTAAATGTACTTACAATGTCACAATATCCGCATGTTTGCCTTCGATCGCTAAATCCAAAGGTGTTTCGTTTAATCGATTCCTCAAGCGCTGATCGGCCCCACGTTTCATTAACTGACAAACGATTCTGCAGATCGAAGTTTCTTATCAATTTGGCAATTAAATGTTTAATGCGTTTGAAGGATACTTTTTCTGTAAAGCTGAAGAAAAAAGAACTTACAATGTGCACGCTTTTGATGCCGCTATATGAAGTGCGGTATTCAGAGATGAATCCAGTGCATTGACTTTTGCCCCGTTTAACAAGAGAAACTCTACCACTATACTTTGATCCTAAACTTGAAGCAATCTCGGGATTTCTAGGAAAGATGGTATACAAGAATACCTGGTGAGGAATACAGCAAATATATTTATTACTGCAGTAGTACAAGTTCTTTACTTGTTCAGAATAACGTAAGGGAGTAAAATAAAAATACTCAAAAAGACAGGATGAAATTAACATGTCGGCTAATAATTTGAAACAAACACAAAGTCTATAGTACTACGACATACATGTTCTATGGCAATATGGAGTGCTGTTGTGTCATTCAGAGAAGTATTTACATCGAATCCTTCCGCAATAAGTCGACACAATTCTAAAGTATCGCCCGTTGCTGCAGCAAATACAGCTCGATTATTGTGGTCAATGTCACTTACTGCAAAAGATGAAAATTTAAACTATTATCCATAGAAAGAACAACTCCACAAAGTAAACTTACATTTGTAATGCTCTATATCCAAATTTGAATCAGATCCATATGCGGAAATCTTTCTCCTGCCTTCTGAAACAAACCGAAATCCAGATCAAATTTTTGATACCGTAATTTCTGCAGCAAATAATAGCTTAAATCACGTCAACGTAGAAGGTTGCCATATGATGATTCGTGAGGCACATCTTGTCGTCGTACTACTACGACAACATGGCTAGATTTTCAGCGATTGCCAAAATTATATTGAAAGATAAAATTAACATCGTTTTTTCAAAACTTCATCTTATGCCAACTTATAATTGATTTTATAATTAATACAAAATAATAAGGCACTGGAAGAACCTTTAGTCGGGATTTCAACGGATTTCCATCCTGTATCAGAAAAATACCCAGCTAACTGTTCTTGTTCATTATCAAAATATGGTGATGGTTCTGACAAATAACGACTGACTGAAGAAAGTTGATTTGAGGACGATCGATGTATTGCTAAAGTGAAAAGACATTCTCAATTTTGTATCAAAACATTTCGTTTCGCGCTAATGAAAATTTAATTTTCGTTTTTTGTGCAAGTCACAACTCTGAGAAGTTACAAATTCCAGAAGTTTTATAATGGAAACCTTTCGCACGTTTGGCAGAAGATTTTCTTGCCCTTTCGCTGAATTTCATTACAAATCGCCTTTCAATGTATTTAGCTTTAATCCATGCCTCCCGCACTGGTCTGAAATTATTTAACATACATAGGTTCTGCTTCTTAACAGTTTATTACCTACTTTGTAGTCGTATAAGTATTAAAAGAACTTCCATTCCGGAACACACCGTCAAGTAATGAAATGTAGAATTTCATTACTTAATACTTCAAAGTATACCATTCCAAAACAAAATGACATTGGGTTACATGTTGACTATAACAAAACACTTTTTTTTAAATCAAATGTGAAATACCTTGCAGAAGTAGCAATGGGGCGTGGTGGTATTACTTTCACTGTGGGAATATGAGCAAGGTAGATTGAGTTCACTGCGCGATTTCCCAAAGCTAACAATACCTTTTTCTGCTCCGGTTCCAATGTATCCATTATCAGAGAACGAACTTTCGAAATCTGTACACCAAAGCTTCGGTGTATACCACAACATTCAATGCATAACAAAACCTAAATCAAACAAGAAGAGTTAATCCTTCAAATTGCAAAGAACATATCAAGAAAAATATGTCAATTATTTTTAGAAATTATTATTTTATCAATTATTATTTTCTTCACTCGACTCATGCATGGTCCATCCAGGTTTCGCTGACTGCTTAGCAATCAATGTTCAACTGCCAAATTTAAAAAGAAAAGGAAAAAGTAGCTCAGCGTTTTGCAATGTATGCAGTATGAAATTGTATCAGAACTATAACCTTAAACTGCTTTATATATATTTTATAAAGGTTTTGATCCTTGAGCATAGCAAAAGATTTATCTGAGGCCCCAGAACCAAATGGCTGCCCCTTTACCTACTTTAATATAATAACGCTAATACAAACCATATCGTCAAATTATCTAAATTAAAAACAAAACATTTCTGCAATTGTTATGTCGGACCGACATAAAAACAATATTATGTGCGAAATATACTAGCAACTTCAACGAAAAATGAAAAATTCGTTTAAAAAACAGTAAACTTACTCCGAGATTAATACTGGCCCATTTTGGAGATTCGATAGAGCAATCAGCACAAACATCATTGCCTGGAATTCGTCTCAGTTCAGCCAATAACGATTCATGGTGCAAAGTTGACGCAGAGTCGGGAATTCCATCGTTAATCTGCTTTACAGTTGTTAATTGGAACACCGTATCATCATTTTCATGTAAGTAATGAATTGTTCGTTGAAGAGCTCGCATCCATGCATTACATAACGTATCCGAATCAGCTTGTAACAAATGATTCCTAAAATTATGGCAAGAATTGAATATTTCTCAAGAACACCGATTAAAATTGATAATATTGTCAAAATCGTTAGGCCCAAACATGTTAGATATAATCAATGCTATTTCAGATATTTAGATTGAGGTAGGTAAAGTTCAATACTTTGCTGGCGTGACCAATTCGAAACAACATGTCCTTTCAAATGTTGTAGGCGCTGGCCTGACAAGACACAGCTTCAAATCCGACTCCATAATCGTTGGCGTCTCCATCGCATCGGATCGATGAGAATAAATCTTGAGAAGAGTATTTAAAAAAGGATACCTTCTGAAACTAACTAAAAATCTCAATCCGGTGAAGTATATATAGCTTGAAACATTGTCTTTCTCAAATTCCTCGAAACCTTACTAATTTGTTGTCCTTAATTTGAAACCAACGTCGATGCCATGTCTTAAAAGCATTGGTAGCTCGTTTGAAAAGGTAACCTTCCATAACAACATCATCTTCTGGAGAAATACCTGTCGGATGCAGAAACACTTCCTAAAACAAACAGCTTAGTTGTGTAGAACATACAACACAATATAACAATATAATATTATAATACAAGAAAAGCTATGATGCGAAAACAAAACTTGACTAAGCTTTACAGCAATTTAGAGAATATAAATTAAACTTTTATAAATGATCCCGAAATCGAACCATTTAGTTTAGAACCAGCAGTTTACCTTAGGTACTAAAGCATGACGATCTTGCATTTTTCTTTTCACATATTTACTTTTATTCGCCAGCAATGATGAGGTATCAGCTATTGCACCACTTTCAACTGCTGTCCATTCATCAAAAAACACGTGTCCACGTACAAAAAATGTGCTGCATTCTTTCACAAAGGACCATAACTAAAAGATACATTGAAATAGCATACTGATGTTAGAATAACAAATAAAATTATTAGAGTCTAACTGACCGATGGAATAAATAGGTTGAATAAACATTTTCTACATATCTATACATTTACATGCTTGACAAAGAGCAACATTCAAACACATACATTGCACTGAATGTGCATTGATAATAATAACAAAGGTGCACAGATTTCTTAAATACTCGCAGTTTACATATGCACTTAAAAAAAATTAATACTTTGCTTTCACTTGCGAATACCAAAGTAAACTTACAGCATCTAAAACAGTGTAGTCTTTGTGCGCATGAGCGATATTTATTTGAGCAACATAGTCGAGTGCAGTATGTGCAAAACATGTACCAACAGCAGTAAGGGCATTTCGTGCATCTGCAATTTCTGTTGGTCGTGCACGATGCACCGCAGCACGCTTTGCAAGTGCTTCATCCAATGAATTTGATAAACTTTCAAAATGACAACGCGTTTCTGTTACTTTCGATCGTTCACTGAAACATTGCTTTCATAATGGATGCTTTTGGAGAATGGAGTTCAGTGAGTGAAGAAAACGCTCCTCATTTACCACTGCAACCGTTAATTTGCTGGAGGTAATCGATAAATTTTAATGAACTGAATATAAATATAACAAGACCATAAAACTTTCATTGTTATAACGATCAGCAATACTTCAAACAGTATAATCCCTTAATTTATTTCTAAAGTCTCCAAGAACTAGCATTGTGACCTAGAATATCCACCAACATTAAAAATATTACTTTTTGAGGAAAGAAATGAGGCTCTCAGCAATAGTCAAATGGGACTGTTCAACAAATGACTTGTAGATATGTGCGACCTGCGCGAAAACATCTGATAACGATTTCAGTGCCAACAGAAGCGATGGGTCTTGTGGCAAAAACTCGTAACATAATTGACTGATAATAGCTGATAAGGTGCTGAAACTTAACTATTACCAAAAGTTTACAACACTTAGTTTGATTATCCAGAATTAGTTTAGTTCTCCCTTACACCCTAAAATTGACATATTACATTAGAACTTGGGAGTCTCTACCTATATGCTGTTCCTGAAATCTCGAAAAGTATTTTAGAAGTCTTAAATCGACCAAAAAAAAGTCTTAATATATCATTTAAAAAAAAAAACTTACAAAAAGTCATTTACATAATTCTTGCCGTGTTCTGCCAAGGAGTTTAGTAATTGCAACACCTACAACAGTATCAGTATCTTTCACATGTACTATGTTTGATTCTTTTTATGAAACCATTGAGAAATAATAAGATTGTACCTTCCTCATTAAGTATGGAGCACATATCAACAATTAATGAGGATGAAATTATTCTATCATCATTTGTATAATTTATATAATATATGAAAGGAACTAAGTGTTCGGAGTAATGAATTTTATTTCCATCTCTAAAACGAATTCTTTACCGATTATCAAAACCGTTTGGAATTAAACGTCTAGAGTTCTTAGTGGCACTGAGCTGTTCAATATCATAATTTACTATTAAAAGATGAAATTACCTCAGTAAGCTTCGAATCTAATTTGGCGAAGTACTGCTCATGTGCTAAAATCGCTTGCCTGAAAAACTGACCGAATTCCGCTCTTAATCATTATTGATTGAAAAAAGCATTTAAAAGATGATAAATCAATTCTAATTTTTTTCTTACATCCTCGCAATATACAACAAACACCAGCAATATAGAGAGTGAAATGCAAACAACCTACAGAAAATTAACCTGAACCTCGGAGAATCCTTCAGTGCTTCCGTGAAATCGAGTTTTGGAAGAGCTTCTATCACGACGGACATTACTTAAAAGTACTCTTCTTTTAGACCGATTTTCTAAAATTTCACTCAGATGATACTGGAGTAGGCCCTTGTGGAATCTATTTTAGAATGTACAAATTGAAGTTAAGAAGTTACAGAATTTTTGCTGCAGGCAATAGCCTCACTCAATATCGAAGGATATTGAAAAAACGGGCAAATACCAATTCATTTCAGAATCCAAAAAAAAATCAAAATTTCAAGCGACTTGTGTACGCTAAAATGATTTATTATAAGGTTATTTAGTGAGAGTACAAATGTACGCCTGAAAGGACAAGTATTTTACATCTGAAATTTATTGCAACCACCCAGAATACTAGTGAGAACAGAGATGGGTAGAAGAAAAGACTAGGACTATTCGTATCCTTCAGAACTGCATGACTCAGTACTAGATATGGCGCTATATCAAAATCTCTAAAAAAATTCATCGTGTCCAGAGGGAATTTCGGAATCATTCGGATTTAGATCTTATGAAGAGTTGGGATTATTTAAATTTGAAATGCCAAAAAAAAATTGATGGTTCATCTCTATCGCGAGAGTATTGATGGATTCCATCATTCGTAAATGATACCATCTACGATTCCTCGTCTATAAGAGGCTGATCGGGAAATAATCTGGCAATGAATTAAAAAATCGATTGGGGAAATTGATGTATAAATAACATTACAAAAGTGAATTTATTAATGTCATAATAATAACAATACAACAAATCAAAGGGAAGCAACTGAAGCGCCATAAATACCCATCAACTTCAACAAGAAAGAAAACAGACCAAGTAAAACAAACCATTGGATCAGAGAATTAACCTGACTCGATAAACTGCTAAAATAGTTTTGGCTGCTCTATCTGTATTCATTTGTCACCCAATACCCTCTCTACTTTACACTTGTTCTTTCGCGGGCGAAAACTCTATTAATACGATTCTTATCATACGCTTTCTTATAAAGCATTCAAAGAAAAAAAATGGAAACAGCATAAGCGCAGGAATCATGAAATGCAATCAGCCAAATCAAGAATAACATATGGTTCCTATTTCAACGACTGAACAACATAAACACAGAAAATGGGAAATTTATTATCTTAGATCACAGCTCACTTCGTCTGCTGCAAAATACTAATTAACTTATATGTACTATATTTTGGAAAACCTTTTTCCAAAAGCCAACTGAGAATGATCCGTTTTATTTGTGTATATTAAAAATTAACGGCTCTCTGGCTTCAGAAGGACAAATAATAAACAGTTGGGACACGAAAATTGTGAGTAAAAGGTTCAAAAAGAACAAGTAGACTGCGAGTTCCTATGGAAACAAGTATGAACCGGACATATACAAGAAACGTATTTTTCCTCGCTTAAGGAAAGAAAATTGACACAAGAGAATTTATTTTAGCTTGGTTCATTTCTAACAAGATCAAGGTCAGAATCAGTCAGAATCACACACAATCAGAAAAAAGTGGTCAAAAAGAACAAGTAGACCATGGGTTCTTATAAAAACACAAGTATGAACCGGGCATATACTTCACAGCTAAAATCCTGTCAAGTCCTACAATGAAAAATGGCCAAATTAGAGATCGGGAGCATAAAATAATGAATAATTTTGATTTGAAAGAAAAAAATGAAAAGTATAAAGCAACTCGAGTTCAGTATATGTAACTCAAACGAAGAAATTAAATTTCAAGGTCGTCATCGGGATCACTCTCATCGAAATCATCTGCTTCGTCTGGAGTGTAAATAATACGACCACCAGCTCGAATCTTTCGATTTCTCCTCAAACGCAACCTTACCAATTCTGAAACATCAATGAAGAAATATCTACAAAATGAATATCTCAATATCAATTTTAACGACGCTTAAGATATTCCAGGAAATAATTAGAGAAAAGCTGTAGCCAACTGTGATAGTAACCAGGTTTTATACCTTCTTTTTTCTGAGCAGCTTCGTGAGGTAAAGACACGTGCTCTCTGGCCTCAAGCTCTGACTTTTTCAAATGAAGGCCGACATCGAAAGAACTCTCAGGTATCGGCAAGTTACCACTTTTCTTAGCAGGTGTATTCGCACCTTGCACTTTGTATTGCTTGAAAAATGAGCGGAATGAATCATCGACACACACTGTTCCCATCTGCAAAATCACTAATTATGGTCCCAGCGGACATAAACTTTAAGCAGGCATTATTTCATGAACAAAACATAATTTACATTAATTAGATAAATACCATCTTCACAACCTTTCCCCATCAGAGACTATTATTTCATGATGAATAAAATGTGTGGTATATAAGCTTCATTTGACAAAGTCACATGCGTCTTCAGGAATTTCTTTGTATTTTTATATACAATGACGGGTAGAGTAGTCAGCATACTACAGAAAAAAACTTCGCTGAAAGAAGCAAAATCCGGATAATTCTAGAACACCTCAATAAAAAAGATCAAACAACCTTTCCAACTTATTAAAAACCACTTATTCATATGAATAAAGCCCCCTTCACATGTAAAACAAACCATAATTTTTATAAATTAGGTAAATACTACCTTTACAATTCTTCTCCCATCACTCTTATATGAAACAATAGTACAGAGAGGTGTCATCATGTCACTGAGTTCTAAAGAATATGTTATATGAGAAACGGAACTCAATTTCTCCCAATTCTGCGCAGAAATGCACTCATCGTGCATTCGTGCAATGACAGTGGCGTATTCTGAAAGTTGAAAAGTATGCAAATAAACGTGAAATAAAAAATTCAAAACTACCTCGAAATCCATATTACGCATTTAATGCACTGCAGGTTCCTCAAGCTTTAATCAATGTAGGCAGTGAATTGAAAGAGAAATTCCGATGCAAGTAAGAGGAAACACGATAGAGCTTACTTTATACTTAATCAATTGTAAGATGCTCGTAAAAACCAAGTACTCTTTCTCAGTATGAGACTGAATAACAACGCAACATTTCGCTTTTTGTGCTCATACTTACGCTTTAGAAACTGGTCATAAAAAAAAGAAATAAAACTTACGCGAAATTTCTTTCAGCAGCACAATCACTCGGTCGAAAGAACTGTCCAAGATAACAATGTCAATCGAATCTAGGAAAACTGTTGTATTTTCAGCATTTTTTAAGAAATCTGTGATTTTACGAAAAATATTGACGAATGAATTGATTTCTTCTACTAGCGAACATTGCAACATAAAAGGGTAACGCTTTATCAAGGTATTTTTACATGACGTAAACAAATATACTAGTACTCGTCCTTTTTTGCGTTCGATGGCATCATGTAGTAAACTGGCCCATATTCTTTCTGCACTGCATCGCAAAGTATCTGTAAATATCAAGTTCACAAGAACTATAATCAACATTATGCACAAAAGAGCCCCCTTCACTTCCACTATTATAACTTAGTTTAGCGTATTACTCTACTCTGACACAAAGTACATATTTCACAGCACTTCTTAGCTTTAACTTTTGAATTTCTGAAATACTACAAAACAGTCGATGAAATCCCTATGTATTCTCTGCCTTGCATTCATTACCTTAATGGGAATCAAAATAAGGAACAAGTTGGCAAATTCTGAAATAAAATATCTGTTTATAGATGGGTACTTCAGTGCACGATTTAATTTGTAATCCACAAAAAACAAACGAAAGCGAGAGAAAACAAAGGGTCATTTATGTTCTTGAACAAAGAGGAGCACATCGAAACAATTGGGAACAATGATTGTCTACCAGTGTTCATAAACTATTATGGATTAAATAATTGATGAAGAGACACCCCATCTCTTGAGAATCCCCGTAATGTTGATCCTGGAGT